TATATATATTATTAATATATATTTATTAATTATAATAAACAGTCTAATAGTAATTAAAAAATCCGTTAGATTCAAGGAAATAAATTTGTTCTAAAATATGACAACCAGAAATACTTTTGAATTTTCATTGATGAATTACTGTTTCCCTTAGATCTAAATAACTGCAAATGTTCCACTGACAAATTATTATTCTCATGCTAGCCATGTTTGGAAAATTTTACTTTTAACCTTTAACACAAAAAGGGAGACCGATGTTCGTATTTTATAACCAAATCTTAACTTTTATACTGTGCAAATAAATAGAGAAAGAATTGAAAACTTTCAGAAATCTTTGTGAGAAATTAGAATGTGTCACTTAAGAGAATTGATACCTTCGGGCTTGGCTTACTCAAAATAGAATGAAAAGAACAGTTGCTAATGTAAACAAATGCCAAGCTCCAACAGCCTGTAGATCGAGATACCTACACTATAGGGCGGTTTTCAGGAGAACTAGACATAAGTCTCACATCGAATAGGGGTGTGGGGTGAATAGTTTTGTCTTGATCTTGGCATAGGTCAGTGTGAGTAAACTAATCGAATCCTTCATTCCTCCATTGCACCCCCATTAGAAATGTGCTCTCCCTCGTTAACATAGCAGCTGACAGTTCCTGACTTTTTATCTATAGGAATTGTCCTGAAAGCAGCACTATACGTCACTTGCAGGTATCCCATTACAATCAATAAGCATATGAAACTTCCAATTTTGTTACTGGTGCTGCCATCTAGTAATGATTATATATATAAAAAATTTGGAGAATAGTATTATATGCAAAATTAGCTTTTAAGGCGACTACCGTGCTAAATTTTTCTAACTTTTTTTTTGGAGATAATTCTGTGTGTAAGGGTAATTTCTTTTTCTTCTAATTTAAAATTGTACATTAACCCTTTGTCATTTCCAAACCGAAGTTAATGTTAAATTTTAAAGAGAATAATTTACTAATTTAAATCATGGTAGTATTTATTACTAAATTTTTTCCCGAAGTGTCGTTTGTGTAGAGTAAAGAAAATACTTTATTTTCATTTTAATTACATTTAATATTTTATTTTTATCTAATATTACTTTATTGCTATGATAAACAAATCAATGCTAAACAAATTTATGTAAAAATAAAGATTTACTTCACATATGTGTGTTTATAAGTAAAAATTATTTTCAGTTTGATATAAATATATCTAAACGTTATTTGCTCGTAAAGTTAAAATAATTTTAAATGTAATGAACAGAATACAATTTCAATTTTAATAATTCCATTTTTAGCTTAAAGAAGTTAAGATTAGCTAAATAGACAAAATTCTCAATCATTATAAATTTAGAAATTTATATTTTTCTTCACCCGATCTCTCTTCAGCGAAACTTTCTTCAACGGGCAGGTTTTTGCTAAAATTGAAATTTCTATAACTTAAAAAATTTTTGTAAAGTTTTACTTCTAAATTTTTTATAACAGAAAAAAACGGAATAGTATTTTTTTCTTCGTTTTATTGAATTGAAAATAAGATGCCGCCATTATTTACGTGAAGTTTTAACTGTTCATAGGCATTAAATTGACAAATGAAATGGGCTACAGGTGGCGGAGACCTTTAATATTCGCATGCTTTAACCATTAGCATGGATTGTGGAGAGTCATAGAAGAAGGAAATACGTTAGTTTCTCTCTTGATTTTCATATAGATTAAAATCTTTTAAGTTGGCAAATTATATGGAACTGAAAACTACATTAAACATAGTTCTAAACGAAAGCATCATGGAAATTTAAAAAAAATATTTTTATTAATTAAAAACGAAAAATAATAAGAAAAGGAAAAATATCGTAGTACGTGAAAAGAGGAGTAGAGGGAAGGGAGAAGGGCCAAAGGCATGGAACCGTTCTTGTTTCAATCTAACAAATGTATGTTAGTTTGTTTCAAACTAACATGCATATTCAAACCCAAAGTGATGTCTCTTTCTGTACTCCTCTTTGCTTTAACATATTAAATTTAATCAAATAAATTGCCAATCTCACAACATGCACTTTTGTTCACAGCTGCAAAGGAATGTGGTCCCGCAGTGATCATTAAGACGCGGTTCCCAGCAGATCACCGAAGTCAAGCATCACTGGCTACGGTCAGTGTGCGGGTGGGTGATCACTTGGATCAGTCTGCGTAGGGACCGAGGGTGTGCGGTATTGGTCCTCGTTAAACTGTGCTACCGTAAAGTGCTCGACTTCGAGTGCAGGTCGTCGGGTCGGGGGTGCCATTCCTCCGCAGAGGATCAAAATTGTGATGGCATGTCTTCGGATCATCTTCCGGGATGTTTCCCAGACCGTCGCCAATAGCCCATTGTGCAGCTCTAGTGCGACGTAAATTAACAACAAAACAACAACAGCAAAGGAAAGTGAGAAACTCACCAATCAGATTCTCCTATTTTTTCGACGTCGATTATATGAGCGTGAAATGCATGCAGTGTAAACGGTCTCTAATTTGTAAATTTTTCATTATGCATGCCCGCCATTTGAGCCGAATTACTCAACTCAACTCAACTTTAGTGAAATAGTTTGAAAACTATTTNCTGAAGGTTAGAATTGAAATGAAAAGGCCTCCTTAGGTATTCTTTGGCCAAGATGCATGCCCGCCATTTGAGCCGAATTACTCAACTCAACTCAACTTTAGTGAAACAGTTTGAAAACTATTTTTTTTTGGTAGAAGAAGATGATACAGAAGAAATGAGAAATAATGGATACTGTAGTAAGTGAAAGTGTTATTAAATTTTGTGTATTCTTTAGACTGTTTTTTGAGCAATTAGTATTAGATGTGTGTGTGCGACTTCTGTTATTAATTTTTTGATTTCGCATTAGGCTTAACGTACTACGAAATTAGGAATTGTTACAGCAAAACAATCTTAGCTATTTTTTAATTTCAAATATGAATACCAAACTTTCCTTTTTGTTAGGTGTAAAATATTCTTCATACTCTTTACGCACCTGGGGATATTTCCGTATCATTGTTAAGACTTGCGATTATTTTGTCGCAATCCACGATGCCGAAACATCTTTTTAAAACTACTGATATACATTAGAATATTTTAATGCTGGGTGTTTCTACTCAGCACCAACTACAATTGAAATGAGGGGGATCGTGATCTGTGGTAAAATAATTGCCAAATCTTAGCAACTTCCTGGCAGCGAGCCACGAGGAACTGAAGAAAAACATTACAGTATTACTGAAATCTATGAGTTATACAGGGGTATAACTCATAGCCACCCCCATGCAAACATCTATCATTTTGTTTGTTTTTTTAAATTTCCGTTTAAAATTAATTTAGCGCCTTGTCAATTGCACTTGTTGTGGCAGATCACGATTCCGAAATATCTCCGACATCTTCTTAATATTGTATGTACACACGAAACTTTTCCAGAGATGATTTCCAGAAGTTTCAAGAAATTATTGATCACATTTATGTATATAAAAAATTTTTTATGCTTTATTTAGAAATATTAGAAATCGAATTTATGCTTGGCATCTCTTTCATTTTTAAATATTCTTTCTGGTAGAATAATAAGTGTAATTAGACATAAAACTAAACTTATGTATAATTCATTAAAATTATGCTGCATGTAATTTATTTAGAATTTTTTGAAAATATAGATGATTTAAATTCATAAATTCACTCATCTTTTTGAAATGTGTAATTTATGATTTTCGAGAAATTTTCAGGATTTTTCGGTTTGGCATACAATTGCCCCTGCTTTTCAGAATAATAAAAATATCTTATTTGTGAACATTCTGAAAAAATTTACGGCCTCGTTAGATGAATGTGATTTGTACTTTTATGCCTTAACAGTGATCTGTCCAGGCCGAATTTACTACCGTTTAGCGGTACCTTCACAAATTCAATTTTAAGTAAAACGGTAGTTTCACAAATTCAACTTTAGGAAAAACGGTAGCTTCAGGAAATACTTTTTCTCCAAATTTTATTTTTGTATCCCTTAAGAAACGATAAATCTATATTTTTACCATGATTTTGTATTGATTTTTTTATATAATTTTTAATTTTTCACAAATTATGTCTTAATTTTCACAAAATAGGTACCTTTCAAAAAAACTTAGACAGACCCCTGCTTAAGTCCCGAACTCGATCAGTTTCTTCTTTTCCCAGTACTAACGTTTCATAAATTTAGCGTAACAAGATTTCTTTGAAGGACTGAAGAACATTTTGACTGCCAAAAACATTTATTACTCACTCTTAGATTACTACCTCATTCTCATTTGCTATTCATTCTCACATTAACCGTGATTATATTTTCTCTTACTGAATTGACTTTCAACAATTTCCACTACCATACCCATATCAGAACCTTCAGGAAATTTCACTCTTTTTCGCAGACACACTTCCCTACAAAAAAAATTCCGCAAAATTACAATTGAAATTTTTGGTAACCTGAGGCCAATCTCGTGATTCTGCACTGGAATCCAGCAGAGAATTGAAAATATCATTAAATCGTCTAAGTTGTTCAATTATTTTTAATCAAATTAAACATTCTTTATTTCTTACAAATATTTCTATCACTTAGAATTAAACTTTAACTCATAAAAAGTTTCGATTGTACTCAGGCAAAATGTGGACTCTGCAATATATGGAAAAGGTTGAGAAAAATGAGTTTCTAGAAAAAAGTTGAGAAGAAACATAATTTTACTTCAAGGCCTTGATTTGGCAGGTAGTTTTTATCCTCATAATATCTTATAAAAAGTGGAGTATTTCATGCCTTTGTTTGCAGTTGTACAAATAAGTAACATTAGTTGTGAATTAACAAAATGAGTACCTTGGGAACTAAACACTGGGGGTTTTGAATTCGGATGACCACCTAACCGGAACATCTGCCCCCTCACTCCAGAGCTCAAGGTCAAAAAAACTAAGATGAGCACAAGTAGGCCTTGGCTGTCTATGGGCTGTAGCACCACTGAGTTAAGTTTTATATCAATTTGGTTGTTTTTTCAACACTTTTTATTTGAAGAATTAAGAATTTTTTTTATTTTTACGCTTCTAATATGATTATTCTTTACTTATCGCTTTTTGTGCATGGTAAAACAACCAATAACAATGAAAGCTGTAGTTTTTAACTTTGAAGTTATATTTTAAGAAATAAAGCATTTTTTTGTTTCTTTTTTGCTTTTTATTATTTCTTTATATTGTCACTTTTTTCTTAATGTTAAATTGCATCTGGAAAAGTTAAAATAAGATTTTAAGTGTTAAATTTTTCATTTAAAAATTAAGAACTATTTTTTTTCTTTCTTTTTTTTATCTAGCGATTTCTTTCGACATTTTTATCTTCCAGCAATCAAAAAGGATTTCATAAGGGCTTGTATTTCTTCTATTTAGGATACTTTTCTATTTATTCTATTTTCTTGGAAATACAGTATTAGGAAAATTGGAGATGTTAGGGCTTTAAAATTTTCGTTCAAGAATATTTGGTGCCACTGCATATTTGGTACTCGGTTGATTTTATTAGCCGAATATTAGGTATTCCAACGAATCACTATTTGACCCCTGATCCCAATTACTAATTTTGATAAAATGTTGTATTTTGAAATTGGGACATTTTTTAATCAGTTTATTTATGTAAATAATAAATTTCCCAGCTTTATTTTTACTTATTAAAGTTTATTTGATCATTGTATTGAATCAATAATTGAATAAATAAAATAATGTAAATTTTACACATTATCTTTGATTAATTTATAAAGTAATCTCATGTTTGCATTTTTTTAATGCTTAATTCACTTTTTTTATCATAAGTAATATGTATATAATAATATAATAAGTAATATAATAAGTAATATAAATGGAGAAAGAAGGAAATTCTTCAATTACTCTCTCCTGTATTTTTTCCCCTCATTGCCTTTTTATAATTGTTATTATTTAGCTTTATGAAATTTTAATGTAAACAAGAGGTGCACAACCTGTGGCCGCTAGCTCTTGATGTGCAGCCCATGGCAACATCTGAACCATGATAAAAACTACAATACTTTTCTTTAGGAAAATAAACTAAAAGATTGAATTTTTGAATAGAATAACACATTTAAGTATTTACCGCACATAATCTAAGTTATTGTAGTTTCTCAATCGTTTTGTTGAAGCATAACAAATTATCTTCACTCATTTTTACAATTCTTTAAATCAATTATTCTTGAATTATTGTTTTTTATTATAAAATCAGATCACTTAAATTCAGGGTTGGGTTTTTGACGTCAAAAAGTGGTTTTTGACATGACAAGGGTATAATACTGGTTTNCATGGTTTAAACTGTCAAAAACTGTCACATGTCAAAAACCTGCCAACCCTGCTTAAATTGCTAGTTTTTGTTATTTAATTTAAGTCATTGATAAATCAGATTACTTAAATCACTCATTTTAATAATTTAATTAAAATCATTGATATTAAGTTGATTGATTTTAAGTTTTAATTAAATTGTCTTTAATCTTTAAAAGTATCCAGTGTTAAAAATATTATTTTTATTTAGTTTGAATTTTGTTGAACTTTTTTTCTGTACCTGAAATTTTATGTAAACTAACATGGAATTGTAAATAACTGTAAAAAGTGGTAATTCTATTTGTGCTTATATAAATCAGTGATGGACTCTGGAACTGTTGTATTATCTTGAATTTTAGTTTTTTTTTTTTTTTCCATAATAAAACACTGATCACTGATTTTTTCCCCTTCTCTTTTATTAGAATCAATACTATCTTATTTTGAGACAGGTAAAAGTAGAAAGGTAAAATTCTCGGTAATAATCTTTTAGAAAAATTCTTCATATTTTTATCAAGGAGAATATTCAAGAGTATTGTTTTTCAGTTTCGAATTTGATTGGTTTTCACTTTAACAAGCATACCTAAGAGCTATATCGTAGTCGGTTCATTGGTAAATAAATTTGCCTGAATTTTTTGTAGAATAGAGTATTTATAAAGTTTTTGATGGAATCTTTGTTATAGTACCAATTAATTTTTGTGAAAGCCTCTCCCCAAAAATCTTTTAGTTTATGTATAACTAAAAAAAATTCTAAGATAACTTTTTATTTTATTTTAGGATTCTCACCAAGCTATATCTGAAGCTATAAATTATTTAGGAATTAACCTTCTTAAAGAACTCTCGAAAGAAATTGGAAATGTCTTCTTTTCTCCATTTAGTATATCAAGTGCTCTTGCAATGGGATTTATTGGATCCAGTCATGAAACAGCTGAGGAGATGACTACTGTTCTTGGATATGAAGTAGCTAAAGTAGAGTCTGGAGATGTCAAAACTAGCTTTCACCATCTATTTTCTGAAATAAATAAAACATCCAACCTGTGCACATTGAATGTTGCAAATGTGGTGTTTGGGGATTGTAATCTTTCAGTTCAAGAGGATTTTAAAAAATCACTAAGAGATTTCTTCCATGCACTATTTGTAGATGTTGATTTTATGAATGATTCTGCAGCAGCTGTGAAGAAAGCTAACGACTGGATTAAAACTAAGACAGAAAATAAGATTTCACATTTACTTGACTCTTTGGATTCTGACACTAAATTGGTAATTTTAAATGCTGTCTACTTTAGAGGGTTTTGGTTGCATGCCTTTAAAGAAAAATCCACTTTTTTACAGCATTTTTATAATAAGGGTTTAGATGATGAACCTAAGCTCGTTGAAATGATGCACTTAAAAGAGAAGTTTTTTTATGCTAACGATAATTCATTCAAAGCTCTCAAATTGCCCTATAAAGGTGAAAACTTAGCAATGTTATTGTTGCTGCCAAATTCACGAAATGGAGTTGATAAATTAGAACAACAAATAACGACTGAGTTCTTGAGACATGTGAATGAAACCTTGTGTGAAACTGAAGTTAAAGTGGCTTTACCAAAACTTCATTTGGAGTACTCAAAATCCTTGAAAAACGCTTTAAAAAATTTAGGTTTGAGACGAGCATTTGAAGCAGGTGCTCACTTTGATCAAATGTGTGACAAAGAAAACCTTTATGTGTCTGATGTAATTCACAAAGCAGTTCTAGAAGTAAATGAAGAGGGAACTGAAGTTGCTGCATCAACTGCTGTAATGATGAATAAGTATAGTAGAACTCATTGTGCTGAGTTCATTATTGACCACCCCTTTGTATTTTTAATTTATAATTGTAAGAACGACCTAATCCTTTTTATGGGAAAAGTTGTTGAGCTTTAGTTTTAGGTTTATGTTGGTCAGAGAAATATTTAATCTTGAGCTTTTCTTAGTTTTGACATATAATTCTTCATTTAATTCATAAAATGTAATTCTTATTAGTAAATTCAAAATCTAATTCTTAAAGAGTATAAATCTGTTTAAAATTAATTGAGAAAAGATCCTTGACTAGTTTTTTCATTTGAAAGGACAAATATTTTTTGTTATAGACAAATTGTTTGTTATAGATCTAAATATCTCTGCTTCACTTCCAAAATTTTTTTCCTTGTTTGAAGGTAAAAATAATAGAAGTGCCGATGTTAAGCTTGTAGTTAAATGTCAGAGAAACATTATATAAATGGTCAGGAAAAGTTTATCTTCTACTGTTAAAAAATACAGGGTTATTCTACAGTTCTAAAATATTGATCTTTTTTAAATTTTGAGTTCCCAATTTTTGTAATTTGTTTCTGTATCATTATTAGTTTACAGCACCTTTGCCTGAGTATGTTTAGCCAGTGCAGTGGTTTTACCCAAAATTTTAGTCAAATGTTTTGAAACAATTAAATGTGATCTATTGTTAATGATTTTAATTACTTCTTAATACCTTCCTGATATTCTATCAATGAGCTCCAATGCTTTCTGTTTTTAAAGAAACGATAGAACGATTGGTGATCAAGTATTTTTTATTCTTAATTTTATGTTTGAATGTATTTTATGTTGACTTTTTTTTTAAGACAATCTTGAAAGTATGTTTAATGTAATTTACGTCTATATATGTGTCGCGTATATTTTTGTTACATTAAATTCTTGCCATTTTATAGTGAAGTGGTAGAAAAAATGTCAGAATCTTGCCAAAAAAATTCTTTCAGGTTAAAGTTTAATATTAAGAAGCTGTTTGTTCTCATAATTTAATCTAAGTTTTATTAATCAGTATTTCATATTGTTAATTTATTTTTTAAAATTTATTTATTACAGATTCAGTTGTGTTTTTTAAGCTATTTATAAAGGCATTTATTAAGATGAATCATGCATCTTAATCACTATAATTTCTTATTTTATATTAAAATATTACATAAAATTTTTAAGATTCCCTATATTGAAAAGTTTTAACAAAAGAGAAGAATATTTTGATATCTAGTAAAAACATTATCAAAAAGGAAATGTCACTAGTTAATTATTAGTAGTTACTAATTAATTAATAAAATAGTTATTCATTAGTAACATATATATTTGAAATCTTTGTATTTTAAATTATGTCTTTAAAGGCTCTTTAATCCTGTTATTTACTTTCTTAAAAATCCCCTTTTTTTGTTTGTAAATATTGGCAGTTCTGATGTCTTGTCTGTTTTTTCTCATTTCAAATCTTTTTCTTTCATGATACTTGTCTCACTCTTATTTATTTTCTATTTGCATAAAAATAGCTATGTGTGGAATTAAATCATTTATTAGGACTGCCACGGTTCAGAGAGAGCAGGAAAAACTTGGAATTGTCAGGGAATTTCATTTTAGCTCTAAAAAGCATTGGATATTCAGGGATAAATGCAATTTTTTACTATTAACCTAGGAAATTCCTATATCATTCCTGGAAAATAACCAGTCTTGGAATTATCAGTGACGATAAGAAGTCATTATGTTTTGAGTTAATAATTCTAGCATCAAATACAATTATTTTATAAAATTCCTTTTTAAGTTAAGTTTTCTAAAGAAAAATTGTGTGGACTATATAAAATATAGTATGGATTTTTATTGAAATTTATCTGATGTACCTGGAAAAGTCAGGGAATTTTTTTTTCTAAAATTGAGTGAAACCCTATTTAATTAGTGCTACCATTTCAATAATTAATGGGTCCCGCAGTGGACTGATCGTTCCAAGATCACCGAAGTCAAGCATCACTGGCTGCGGTCAGTGTGCGGGTGGGTGACCACTTGGATCAGTCTGCGTAGGGACCGAGGGTGTGCGGTATTGGTCCTCGTTAAACTGTGCTACCGTAAAGTGCTAGACTTCGCGCGCGTGTCGTCGGGCTACCGAAATGGGGGTGCCATCCCATCCACAGAGGATCAAAATTGTGATGGCATGTCTGCGGATCATTTCTCCGGGATGTTCCCCAGACCGTTGCCAATAGCCCATTGTGCAGCTCTAGTGCGACGTAAATTAACAACAACAAATTAGTAATTAATGGACATCTCTACACTTATGTGAAAAAAATCAGTGTGTGATCTGCATAAGGCTAGTCACCACTGTATATGTAATACTTAATATATTTATTGATTGACCTTTTTTTATGTTGCTTTGTTTGTGTGAATTTAATTAAAGCATTAAATTTAGAAAATTACTTTAGATGTAAGATTAAGTAAATATAACACAAGATGCAATTTAGAAATATAATATTAAGTGTGCTTTGCACTCTGCTGGCTTTGTGGAAATTGTGGATTTCCATTTACTTTGTAATTGTATGATGACTATAATACATGTATTTAAAAAATGAGAAAATTTTATCTTTTAGATTTTATACCAATTTTCCTGGAATATTATGTTAGAGAAACTGCTCTAGAAGTATTTGTTTTGGGTGAAATTTGGTTTTAGAATTTTCAACAATATTAACAAAGAATTTCTAAATTCTTTGCTAACTGTTGTAGATTACATTCTTAAAAAATATATTATTTTTGACACCCTGAGAAAGTTATTACTCTTGTGGTAATTTAGATTTTCAAAGAATTCGTGGAAATGAAAACAAGAATTTATACAGTCTGTTAAAGATCAGTATTTAAGTACAGTTCAGAAATTTTCTTTATTGCTCTTAAAATGTAATTTAGGTTTAACCTTGTATTTTGATTGAAATTAGTTAGAAGCTACCTAAATAGTTAATAGTAGGAAGCTTTGTATGCTGTGATAATTACCGGTAATCAATTTTTTCTTTGTTTTGCCAAATTTGAATTGTTTCAATTTTAGTTAATTGTATTTTAACTTCTTTTAAATTGAATATTCCATTTGCTATTTCCAAATGTTCCAAAATTAAAGCACTAAGCATGTAAAAAGTTATTTTCCTAAAAGATTTCAAAACTGTGATATAATTATTTAGATGTTATTTTTTATATTTATGAATTATTTGTTCTTTAACGCTGATATTTATTTACCATGTACATTGATAGGTAATTGCTATTTACAAAATGTTTTTATTCAGATTTATAAAAGATTACTATTTTTAAATTGTTTGTACTTGTTTTTAATAAAGTTCGAATTGATTTATTTTGATCTTTAGAGCTTTAAATTTATAGTTACATAGAAATACCTCTTGAGTTCGTTCCTTGGGTTTATCCTAGTTTTTCATAACTGAGGACTGCAGTGCTTTAGTGATTACAGTTCAGCTTTTGATAAACATGCTCAAGCTAATTCACAGATCGTGGCACTGATGCCACTAAGCTTAACAATCAGCTCAAATCCTCAAGGTGTTTGCCTTATTTAGGTAAACGCTGGTGTCGTTCACCAGGATAATACTGTTATTCATTTTAGTTTACCAGATGTGAATAATATTTATGAAATCCTTAGTTAAACTGTATTTTTCTGCATCAGCAATTTATTCGACAAAACAGAATTTTTTTTTTTTTAAAAGGTTGAGCAGGAGCGCATGCGGGCATCTTAATGTGGACAGTACTTTAGTGTGCGTAGTACAGAAAAGAATTTATATAAAATTCTTTTTGAAAATTTAGATAAACATGGTTTAATTCCTAAATTTTTAAAAAGACGCTTGTGTTATGATGGTGTCGGTATAACAATCCACTTAGTTACATTATTCATCTTCACGCTTTTACTTTTTCTGTTTTTAACTTCATTTAAACACTGAGTTATGAAAATATTCTGGAGTTGGCCATGTTTCAGGTTTCTAATTTTGATCTCTTAAAGTATGGAAATTAACTTTCGTAAAAATAATTGCTTATTTTTAGGTGTGTTCCTCAGGGGGTTTATCTTATTTAGGTAAACACGGGTGTCACAATCCCGAGGCGCCCCAGTGTTTCTCTTGCATTTTTATGCTTATTCGGCCTTCCAGCGGATAAATCAGTAAGCTTTTGTTTCGAGAGCTTTCGTGTCTAAATACCACTGTCTCCATTGAATTTTGGTCAGAGTTCTCCGATACCTCCTTATGGCATGATTTGCACGCTCTTTTTTAAACTTTATTGCCATAAAAGACTTATTTTTTCTGTTTTTTCACAAGCAATGAATGTTGGATGAGTCGTATAATGTACGATGATGATACTAAATTTTTCTTCTTGAGCAAAACCTCCACCTATGGCACATGCGCTAAGAGCGGAAAATTCATTTATATTGCTCAATTACTATTTAAATTCAACTTAAATAATATTTTTACAAGAACTTTCCAACATTTCATACAAATCTGTATTTGTTAAAATTTTGAATTCAGCTGCAGAGCCAACGTTATTGGCCAATTCTTTAACGATTCTCCAATTGCAAAATTATAATTGATTGCAGCCCTCTTTGCCACTAAAAATTGCCAACATCTTACTGTTCAGATAATGCTATTTTTTAAAAATATTTAACTTCTCTACAATGTAGCTTTTACCTGTTCATTTTTCCACAGCATTAAACTGCCATCATTGTGTAGGTACGCTTTTTTGGCCGGAGTACTTGTAAAGTTATAAGCTGGAAATTACTTAGGATATATATCCCAGTGTGGATTTATAGTGAAGAAGCGAATCCTTATCCGAAAATAACAATTTTGCATAAAGAACCTATTTATTTTTATATATAAGTTGTGTAATTCATACATAAATATCTTACTGCTATCTAAGGCAGAAAATCATGTATATGAAGGTCGATTCAATGTAAGAGATGTGGCGTGTCGAGAAATAATGACCACAATTTCATGTAGGATGTTAAAGCATCGAAAAGAGGGGGAAGCAATCATTTTTTAAGCTTCTATCCTATCGATTACTGTATCTATTTTCACGATTTCATCCTCTGTCCACCATCTAGCACAGAGTCACCCAACAACATTCATCTCACCAACGATCACCTCCGCGTATGCGACTTGGTAGTTGTACAAGCACCTCGTCACACAACTTACTCAAAACGTGTCCTTGGTCCATAAAGGACCGCAGCGAGAACGAAATATATTTTTCAGTCGTCTGGGGTATGACATCAATATCTCGATCATCATTACCCAATTCCCTTATAAAAGTAGGGCTATCGAAGCCTGATAAGTTATGAAAAAATACGGGAAGAAAACTTGGAACTTTGGCCATAAGATTACAATTGTTGCATGCTGCTCCACGGTATTTAGAGCTGTATAACTTCATTTGTTTTTTTTTTTAAAAGAAATTACTAATTTTACATTCTTTAATTTTAATAATAAGAAAGAAAAAAAATAATTATGATTATAGATTATACTTAGTTACAGATTTTAAAATTATATTGAATAAAGATTTTTCCGGTTTTTATTTTAATACACGATTTAAACTGAAAAACTGATTATAACCTATTCCTTTAATTTTAATAAGAATAGATCAATTTACGCAGAATTACAGATTTTAAACTTATATTAAGTAAAGATAGTTCTGCACAATTTAAACAGAAAAAAAGGACTTACCTTATGATTAGTGCTTGTGAATCCTTTTCCGCACAGGTAGCAAGTTGCTGCATTTTCATATGCATTGAGTTCCTCAGCTGTCAAAGGACTTATTGGCTTCGGATGTTTGTAAAGCTCTTGGATCGCTTCCGCGTCTTTAACGATGGCTTCGAAAAATTTTTTGTCCGCGCCTGGTCCTTTATAAACTACTGGTTCGGTTTTGGAGCCATCCCAACAGCTAACTATATAGCAAAAACTATAAGCTTCGTGTTGCTGATAGGCTTGAGTGTATGAGTTGTCGGAACTGGGCTCGCGCGTATCCAAAGGTCGAGTTAAAGTTTCAAAGTCTGCATAGACAACATATGGGACTTCTAAAACACGTTGAATATTTTCGAATTTCAACCATGGATCTTGAGGCATCTCTACACGCAAGGCTTCATGCTCCTTGCAATATATTATATGATTTTCTAATAAATCTTCCGACCAAAAATGCATTAAGCAACGTCGGCAAATGAATGTTCGACACTTATGTTTTGATATTTGCGTGCGAACCAGACGCGACAAATCCTTTATCCAGCAATAATGGTTGGAATTTATAGTTTTCAAATAAAGAAGGTCAATATGCCGTTCTCTTTCGTAATTACTAGAGGAAATATTTTACTATCATCAGCAATGCCATAAACATTTACGGAAATGGAATTAATTTTTTCAAACTTGGGAATATCGCGCAATTTAACAGCGAAATTGATATTAGAGAAGTTCAGTTCATCTGAGTAACGTTCGTATGTCTGCACTCGAGACACATTTAAGGATTTATCGATCACTGGATGCAATGCAGATAAAATTGCCCATTGAAAACATCTGTTATCATTGTTATGTACGTTTATTACTGCTCCTTTATTTTTAATAACTTGAGGTAGCTCAATATAAGATGACCCATGAAGAGGATTGTATTTGTTAATGCGTACTTCTGCAACTTGATTTATCATCTTGATCAGCCAAGGACGAAACCGTGAACGGTGACGCCTTCTGTCAGTTCTTCCTCGAGCGTTAGGGTTTCAACCAATGGCTGGTACTTCGACGCTTTCTCCACGTATGCGTTCGTCAGGACATCTGGGCCATTCGTCTCGTACCGGATTGTGACGTCAATAATGATCGCCCTCCTGCCATCATGTAGGATTTGGTCTGGCCTCAACAAACGACCGTTTGGAAGCCGAACCGGGTATTCCTTCCTGACTCGCCAGCCGTATTCTTGATTGATACGGGAGAGTGTATTCGCCACTCTATTGTGCCTGCGAATACGCATACGGTGGAGGGCGACACTGGCGTCAAGCAAGAAGGTGATGTACTGTCTCATAAGGGAATCTGCATAGTCGGCACGATTCCGCCCTGTTATCAGCCGCCTTCCGCCGGGCGGCTTCCGTGGGATGTACATCTGCTCGCAACATCATTGCTCTCAGCGGCATGGATATGCACTTACCGGCATTGAGTTTCATCCCGAATTCCCTACAGAACGATGCTTAGTAGGGTCTCCAGTTTACCCAAGCTCCGACCTAGTAGGGCAAGATCGCCCGCGTAGGCCAGAACAGAAGTCCGGAATTCCGTCGTTCCTCGTAACACTACTCCATGCCCACTGTCACTTACTGGTTCGCAAGCACGGTACCATAAGCACTGCAGATATCAAGTCGTTCGAGTGCGGCGAAGATGTGAGGATGACTTACCGTGTCGAAGGCTTCAGCGAAATCAAGTAATACCACGCCGGTATCGGTATTTCCTTACCTCTTTCAGACATTTCGCCCATATGCAACTATGGAAACATTCGTTTGGATTTTTGCTTTGGTACATCTTCGCAAAAGATCTGTTGATGCACTGGCAGTATCTTTTCGACAATCTGTTCTATTAAATGATTTTTAAGAATGTTTTTTAGGAGTACATATTACCTGTTGCCAGGGCTCTTTGGTAAAAACACCAAAATTCTGCTACAATAGGCCATTTATTGTGTTTAGGTTTTGAATCTGTTGACATGCAATGGAAAAGAGCATATGACTCACTTCAAGTTCTTTTTATAGCCAATAAAAGATCACATTTTATTTACAGGAACAGAATTACATCAGTAAGAAAGTATAATTTTTTTTATATATGAAATGCTACATTAAACAAAAGGTAAAACTAGAACTAAGCGCTTTTAGGATGAGTGTCTAAGACAAAGTTCCCAGACAGAATGACCGAAAAAATTGTCGAGGGGGATATATACCAAGTATCTAAATATGTCATAAAAAACGAAATTGCCATTTGTCCTTGAACTTGATTGTAGTAAGGATGCTTCAACTTCAAACATCCTTCTTTATCTAAGAAAAAGGAATGAAATAGGGGCACTTGATTTCGATGATTGCAGGTGGATGGCAATCACACATCATTTTTCCATCAATGGAAGCTCCCAGAAAAGGATATCTTTTATCTACCAACAAACCAGTAGATTGAAGAATAATTACATTCTCATGTTCTTCAGTTTACCCCACCTCATATCTTTCGTTTCTATTGGGTTTATTTGAATTATTTCTTTTCCATTCCCCATTTGTCCGGATCTGTGAAGCAGAGGGGAAGTAAGGAGCCCTTTTCTCTGCAT